CCTTCCTTTCCTTCCTTTCCTTCCTTTCTTCCTTCCAAGTTTACAGTTTTAGCACTGAACTTCTTTAGTTTAAAAGAATTCCCACTCTGGAACAATTTAATTTCAGCATTTTTATTCTGAAAACACATCATCTTTAGGCACGATTTTCAACACCCTTTAATTATTTTTAATTGAGAATGATTCAAAATTACTTTATTTCACTTGTTTGGCTCTAACAAGATGTTTTTAGCCCTCTTCCAAGCTATGTTTATTTTGAGATGAGAAAAGCAGTCTTGACTTTTTAAGGTGTTCATCGGGAGTTGCTTGTTGGTTCAATGAAAATACAGATTAGCATAATTTTAGTCAATTTGAAACAAATGTTAGTCCCAGAATTTGGGGATCGTGAACTGATTCTTTCTGTGACCTAAGCAGCACAATCTCCCTGTGTCTCTTTACCCTCCTGTCATTTTACCAAGAGTCCTTCTCCCCACTTTAGCCATTTCACCAGTGAAAATGCTCCTAGGTCTCGGTCCTCCCAGCTTTCTTGTGAAGCCTTCCTCCAGATAATTCAACTGAAGCAATCCAACAGTCTCTGCTAAGGTTCCAGGTTTCCTCTTCCAGAAAGCTGCCTTGCCAGCACCTCCCTTGCAAGAGGAAAGAAGGAGGCTGCTGCTATTGCACATCATGGCCATGTTACTGATGATGGGACCAGACCATGCTGGGTTTAATATTATTTTGGAAGGGTTTAAATGTTGAAATCTTGGCATAATTACTAAATTAGGATGGCTACATAACACACTGCAATAATATCAGCAGTCTTCTAAGATGCTGCCTGCACTCAGTATACTTCCTTTGCGTCCCCAGATAGCAACATATGTCAGTCTGGGAGAAGGCAAGTATTCATAGGCCAAGAAGACTAAGTCTGTGCTGTTAGCTAAGACTGGAAATTGCTCAAAGAAAGTCCCTTGTGATATTTTTTATGCCTTGAGTAAGCACTAGCTGAGGTTGACCATAGCTATGCAGTTTGCAAAGAACAACAACTCCTGGGCAAGTGACTTGACTCCTTAAAATCTTGCTGAAAAAGCCACACATTGAAACCTGGTCAGCTGCTGTGCCTTCCCACCTAGAAAATAAACGTGAGCAATCTCATATAATTACGATAATTAGCATCTGCAGTACGATGATGCTTTGAGGCAACCCATTTATGTGGCTTTTTATCATTGTTCTTTAATTAAAAAGATCTCCAGCTATTGAGATCAGCACAAGTGTGTCACACCCAAATGAGTGAGAAGCAACTTTATCCCAGATTCTAAAAATAAGAGTTATTTAGAATTTGGATACCCTGAAGGTGGCAGTGACAGCAGCTGAAATTTTGGTTCATAGTTGTATTTCTAAGTACTAGCCTATGCATGGCAGATAAGGAAAAGGAGCAAAGCCAATAAGTTTCCTAAAGCCATCAGCGGAGTTGCAATCCCCCGTGCTGGGTCTCAGTGTCCTGCCAGATCTAAAATACTGTGCACCTTTCCTGCTGTAGCAGGTGCAGGTGTAAAAGACTGTAAAACTATTTATTGTTTACTTTTTGCCTTAACCTATCTTTAAAAAAAAAAGAAAATATTTTATGGGAATTGCTATGCACTGTGTTCTCAAATATATGGATTTTATGGCAGTTTGTGAAGTACAATCATGGGACTGAAGCCCGCAACAAGTGTTTGAAGGTGCTTAACACTCATTCCATCTTTGTTCTGATTTAATTAGTAAACATCTTCAAAGGGAACTGGCTGACTGCTAAGGCAAAGGGCACAAGCACCGCAACAGGCAAATGTTTAAAGGAAGATATTTGAAACATACAAGAGCCTGGGGTTTGTCCATGCAGAAATGAGAACCAAAACCTTCCTGTGACTCACAACCTTAGTTAAAGACAAGGCAAATCTATGCATTATTCTGAAAGAAGCCTGCTATGGAAATAAGGCTTTCCTTTACAAAGAATTGTGTTTATATGCAGATTTGCACTGAAATGCACTTGGGATTTGCAACTGCATTAGCTACCGTCAATAGCGTTTTCCATGTAAACAGGCTTTTTGTCATCGGTTATCATAACAATCTATGAAATATTGACCCATTGGAAAACAGTGCCCTGGGGCTCATAATGAGCAGTGAGCTCTTCTCAGGCTTCTGCAGAATACTTATGTGCACATGAAGTCATTAGTCTAGGTGCAGAGAAAGTCATGATTATGTATTCCAAAAACCTCCTGAAAATGAAGAGTTTCTAAATGGACATTGATATCTGCCAATAGGAAGGAAGGTTAGGTTTTGATATGTAAACTAACTCTTCTTCTCAGCCCCAGACGACTTGAGCAGTCTGTTTTGCAGCGATGATGGCTTAGCCACAAATGTTCACCGAAATCTGGAAGTCAGAATCACAGAATCATTAAGGTTGGAAAAGACATCTAAGATCATCTAGTCTGTCAGTCACTTAAATATCTTCATAGATCCCGTTCTTGGCATCTGCAAGTGTACAACAACAGCATGGATCATCTGCTCAGGGCTGGAGCAGGCTGCTATGAGGCCAGACTAGAGAAGGTGAATCTGGGCTGGGAACCGAAGCAGCAGAAATGCTGTGGTGCCTATTCTCCTCCATCTGCTTGCGCTGGGTAGGGGCCATCTGACTTTTCCGTAAACCATCCCAGAGACATTCAGCAGGATCCTTTCAATCACAGCACCAAAAGAAGGCATTGCCTAAACAATCATTGCCAAACTGAGGTAAAAATCCTTTCCTGCAAATGTCGTAATTTGACAAAGCGAATCATGACAAAATACCAAAGTGGAAAGAAAAGGAAGTATTTTTATTATGTTGTCTGACTATCACAGTCAATTCAGTTTTTGATGACCACAAATTTTCCCTGGGCTTTTAAATTCTCTCAATGCAAACTGAATTCACTTTGCAATTCATACTCTGTAATCCTTCTTCTTTGCCACCTGTCAGTCACATCTGTTTAGAATGTGAGTGAGATCTTCTTGGCAAAGACAATATTACTACATAGAAGAGTACAGACCTGCCACAACAGAGTTACTGCCCCAGCTGGAATGCCTGTATACCCTCAAAATGAAGTTTTATAAATCAGTGGGTTTATAAACGCTGTAAAAAGAACATTTAACCAACCACAAAACATTTTAAGACTGTGAGACACTGATGACTCAAGAATTATTCACTGCTGATGAAGAACATTTCAGAAGACAAAATAATGGAGTAATAAAAATCCAAAGATTCTTTCCTTTAAAATTATTTCATGATCATATTAGCATGGAGCACATAAGTAGTATGGAATTTGAAAGTAGGCTTATGTCTGTAATGAAATACCATGAGTGAAAGTGAGTCAGGAATTTTTGTGTCTCAAATGAAAAGGCACAAACAGTTGTAGGGGATTTTTCAGTACCTCCTCCCCTGACACAGACCCATGGCAAAACAAAAAATTTTTAATATTAAAAATGTGAAAAAAAATGGGGATTTCTTTTTTCTTTTAGGCTTTGTACTTCTAACAGAACTTTCCCACGATTAAAGGAAAAAGCACAACTGTTAGAACTCTTTCCATAGGAGATACTTATCACTTCCCAGACTGCTCTCATCTATCTTCTTTCTCTTGATTCATGCTTTAGACAGAAGTTGACTAAACTCTGAATCCCAAAAATTTACTCAAGCATCATGACAAAAATGAAGATAATAAATAAAATAGTGTTTGAGGGACTGTATGTAACAAAATGAGACATATTATCTAAAATCTGTCTTTCTATTGTATTGCTTTATAGTTAAGCAGGCAACCTCATGACAGTAGGGTATTCACTAAAATAATCTTTTCCTCTCCATGAGTTAAAAAAAAAAAAAAAAAAAAAAAAAAAAGCACTTCTTGAACATATGAACCAGAAACCAATTCAACCTTTGCAGCCTTCTCTTTGCCATAAAAGGACTCCTCTCTCAGGAGCCACCAGAGTCCATTAGTTGGGAAAGCAGGCAGGTGTAAAAGAAGTTCATGTTTAACCTCACTGGGTTTGAAAGCCAGCGTTGAAGTTTATCAGCTCACAGGCCCGTGAAGGGAGGAAGAAAGGCAGAGAATGGGTTTTAGTCAAAGACTTACTCAGAGTTAACACAGGCCACTGGCGCTAATAAACAAACATTGCCAGACATCAAAAGGAAGTAAGTAAATCTGGGAAGGTTTAGTCCAAACAATGGCAGGACAAGCTATGCCTGTTGCAGGGTGGGCAATGGGACGGGTGACATTGAGATGTTAACCCTTGCTTGGGCCACAATGGCATCAAAAAGAGTGGGTCAAACCCAAATTTGTTCTAGGAAAGCAAGAAATTGTTCCCATCAATATTAATGGGAAAAAAAAATTGCAATTAAAATTCAAACTTCTCTGGTTCTTCATTCTGAATTCATTTGACTGTATAAATTCAGGAATCAGCCCAGTGCAACCAAGAAGTTGCTCCATGAGTAATTTGCCAAAGGATTTGCAAAGAGTGAACTCAACCTGATTTCTAGGGCTGAAATGTGGCAAGTTTCGCACAGAACCTGGATAAGAGTTGGGTGATGGCCTTATAGCACAACCTGTGGCTGGTCAGTGCACTAGACAACTGGCAGTGATTTCTGTATTTGAGACACAACCTCTACTGTCATCAGATAGCTTTACTGCAGTGCATGGAGCCTGAGGGTGGAAAAATCCTGGAAATACAGCAGTATTGCCTTGTGCAAACAGGTTTGTGAGGTCTTCAACAGCAATTTGAGAAGTTCACAGGCAAGCACGAGTGCCACATCTTCCTTCTTTAAGTCTCTCTGCCCTAAGTGGGATTGATTCAGCACAACAAATAATGTACCAATGTGCATAATTCAGCAGATGGGGCACCTAAGGCTTCCTGATCTGCGTATCCCCCTTTCTCTCCTTTTTCTTCTTTCAGTTTCTTTTCAATTCTCAGTTTTAGCACAGCACATTTTGAGTACAGCTCCAAATGTGTTTCCATGGAGGAATACTTATGGACAACAACTGTCCCAGAAAGGGTTTGAGAAAGCAGCAAGGAACTGAAAGAAAGCAAATCTTCTCAGGTGGTAGCACTCAAAATGTTTGGAGGGAGATAGTTCAGAGATGGTTTCTAACTGATCCATTAACTGCAGGATCTCCTGAACCACCAGAATTTGGGATGGGCTCTACCATCCTCAGCCAAGAATCTTATTTCAGGCTGGATGAGCAGGACAGCCACCTTCCATGGGATTCCCTAAGATTGACTGCCACTCTGCAAAGCCAGATCTCTTCCTGAACACTTTGAAAAGCTGGGAGCTGCTGCTTCTCACTGAGAAGGAGGTATCAGCTCTTCCTGGGGAGGAACCAGGAAGTACAAGGGTGAATAAATCATGTGGTGAGTATTGCTGCTCTTTGAAAAGGAGGACACCTCCATGGGCTCTGGGTGCAGGATCCTCATCTGACATAGATCTCTCATGGGCTTCTGCTGTGCATCTCCCCAAAGGCTTTTTGAATAATCTTATTCCAGAAAAAAATGGATCTGTATGATGATAACCTCTATGGTCACTTGTCTCTCATACCTGTATTTCAAGTAGATGAGTAAAGAACTGAACCAGGAGTGTTACACAGCTTATCTTTCTTTGCTTTGAAAGATAAAAGAGTAGGGAAAATCTAGAGCTCCTTTCCAGCAGCTGGAGGCCTTGGACACAAACCCTTCCTCCCAGAGGGTCTTCCTCTGGCTGGATGTAGAGACGGCGGCATCCTGCAGGCTGCCAGCAGCTTCATCCCTCACAAACAGCAAGTGTGTGAAAGGGAAAATGATGGAAAGAGTTTGGAGTGTCCAAGGAACACAGAAGTCCCAAGAAGGTCCTACAGCCAGGCAGAATCAAGTAGGTTGTGCTGATCACCATGTATCTGCAGAGTTCCTCTAACTTTGCCCCCTGTGCGTGAGCCGAAACAGCAGTGTGCTGCTTCAAAAATCAGTGATGTGTGAAAACAACAACAAAAAGTCCCATAGCAACTACAATCAAAATAGAGGTTTAAATAACATCATGCATAATACATCTCAAACTACCACCTCCAAGCAAGGGAGGGATGGCTGAAAAGGAGTGTAAAGGAGTGAGCCAAAAACAAAGCAAAGCTTTTTTTCCGAAAGCTGGCAAATCTGTAAAATTCTGCAATCTGCTGTAGTGCGGGTTGTGTGAAGCACAGCAAGCCACAAAGGCCCCAGTGCCTGAAGAATATTAACTTTCTTTTTTGTTGTTGCTCCTGATTAATCAAAGCTCAGCTTGACACCTCATGAACGCCCATCTGGTGCTGGGAGTGTAGATCTGGACCCTCTGAAACAAAACACGCACAGATCCTCATGCCAAGGCCCAGTGCTGTTCTGGCCCGGCTCTGTTCTTCATGCTCCCCTGCTTGCCGGCTGTCCCTTGGGCCACCATGCAGTGGTGCCCAGCCTATTGTCACCTCAGCATTCCCCAGGCTCCAGTGCCAAACTTCGTGTCACTTCAGCTTTTTCCCAATCTTGCCCTCTGTTATACAAGGGAATGTGCTGACAGGCTGATGGGCTGTGCGTTGATACTGTTTGCACTGGCATCGTGTACCTGCTATCCTTTTCAAGTGGTTCTCTGTGAAGTCAGCAGAGCTGTGTTTCTCCAAGAGGTCAAGAGAATTATCTGGAAGCACTGAGTGTGTCTACTCAGACTTCTGTCCTCCTTATTTCAAGATCATGTCAGGTACAGAGGCATCTAAAGCAGTCCCAAGCTTCAGATCCAAAGCGCAGAAGCATATATTTGACTTTGAGTGAAAGGATTCCTCTAGACTCCAGTTTTATTACCACTGCGCTTAAAGCTAAGCACTTGTCTTTTGTGGATCCTAACAGCATCAATAATTTACACTGTGAAAGCAGCTAGAGGCCCCATTTAAGCTGAGACTTTGTACAAACAAAATAATTGACAGTCTCTAAAAATCTTTCAGACTGGAATGTAAATCTGCAATTCCCTTTGTAGCTTGCTCTTCCCTGATTTATTTTTTGCTCATATTTAATCCAACTTAAACATTTCCATTCAGCTACATCAGCATGTTATTTTTATATTCAGTTCTTAATGACTAATGAGAAGACTTGACCCTTGTCTTTGCTGTTTGAAGAGGGCAGCAGCAGTGAGGCTCAAATGCTGAAAGATTTACTGTAGAGTGACCGGTTCTGCTGAGACACCAACTGAGATATGAGCCTTGGATTAAGATGCTTCTGAAATACTTGTGCAAGCTTTCAGCACCAGCATAGACTTCTTGTCAGATCAGCTGTTTGCCAGTCAACAGCAAAAATACTCCTTCCGAATTAACTCTCCCCCAAGGAGTTTGGGCTTAAACCATTCATGATGTTTTCTGACTGCATATGGCTACTGATGAATCAGTGTCAGTCCTCTTGTAATCTGGAGCAGATGCAAAAGCAAGATAATGAATGGAACCAAACTCGTTTTCTGATACTGCTTTGGTGTAGTTTAGCAGATGTCACCCAACACAGAGCTCCTGAAGACAGAGCACCTCTGATCATCAGGCGACTTGTTGCTGTCTGAGTGTTTTTGTTTGTAATTGTCATGAGCTGTCCTTGCTCACTTCTCTTCCCTTCTGTCCAGAATCTCTTCTTTGCAAAAACACTGATTCTCATTTTCCACATGCTGCTACGGTCTCCTCTCCTGGCTGTCACTTGTCCTCTCCCACAACATGAAGCCCCAACCTGAACTCTGTGGTCCAGTCACTGCTGAGGATAGCAGAAAATTGAGTGCCTGGGTACTTTTTATTTGGTTTTTGAAACACACTCTGCACTGCCAGCAGCCCAGTAGAGCTTCCTTTAGCACCGTGATGCCCCACTGACTCATAGTCAATTTAACATCCTCTAAAATCCCCCAATACAATTCCATGATAGGAAAATACTGGTTAGAAAACAGCTCATTTCCTCTTTTTTAAGGAGATTGATGGAACTATTTAAAGTCTTTTACAGTAGTAATTGTTTTTTTATAACACCCTTAGCATGCACAAAGTTGATTATGTTCAGTATTCTTACTAAATGCCTCTGTAGCTGTAACATAATAAGGACTAAAGGAGAGACAGAATAAAACAATAAACAAATATTTTGAAAATACTTCAGGTTTTTGGATTTTTTTTTGGAGGGCAATGACAGCAGCAGAAGTTGAGTTTGCAGCTTTCCCAGCTTTGCCTTTTCCAGTGTGGAATGCTCAGGATGTGCTCCAGAAGCCCCATCTGATTCTCAGATCAGAATCACCATTTATGCAAGACACATTTGGCACCAAGAGGTACAGTTTGAACAGAGAACAGTTGAAGTTCAAGCTGTCCCTAAGCAGCTGAGTCCATCCATCTGGAGCAATGAGAAGCAGTTACCACTTCTGCAAACCACCATGGCCAGGAGCTCCTCACAAACCCTCCTCCTTGCTAGCTGCTCCAGTGATGCTTTGCTCCAAAGTGGGGATCAGTGATACATAGGATCCATATACAAATCTTGACATGGAGGAAACACCTTGGTCTCCCACAAGCTTCCTGTGTGCTTCCTTCTTACCTATAAAACCAACATGCGTGCTCTGCCCTTCTAATCTTCCATGCCTTTGGGACTGACCAAGAGCAGCTGTTCTTCTAATTTAGACCACTGACCAACAGAATAAAAACAACAAAAACTTGTTATCCATAAAATACACCTTCTCAGTAATAAAGCTATCAATAAAAACAAAAATAAAATCCACTTTTGTTTTGGAGCGAGATTTGAAGCCTGTTTCCTTAGCTAGAGGTTTCAGGATTCACAAAGATTTTTTCCAGTACTCCTTCGAACTTTTGGCCCGTGTAGCCTACTGGGGATGTATTTAATGGTGAGGCTTGGCTAGTCTATAGTTTTTTTTTATTGCAGCAAGAATCACTAAAATAGGAGTATAGCAAGTCAGTCCACTGTCATTTTGAAATCTGACTGTGGGACAAAGGGAGCACACTTCATAAAAAAGACTAAATCTATCCTCTATGCTTTTCTATTAAAATGTATTTGACAGAAAAGACTAAAAATCACATTATATCCCAAAGAAATTTTTTCCTTTTTTATTTCTTTCTTCTGAGAGAAGCAACCCTCTGACAGATCTGTTTCAAGCAGAGCATCCAGATGAACTTATTTGATTGCTAGCTTTCTGAAATCAGCTTTCTAGGAATAAGTTAAATAAGTGCCTTCTAGGTGTGTAAGGAAGGTGTGTAAGCTAAGGGGACAATGCAAAGCTTGCTGACAGCATTAGAAAAGCTCTTCTCATCTGAACAGATCTTGGATTAGACCCAAAGCCAGCTGGCCTGAAAGAAAAGGAGGGCAGAATTAGAGTATTCCCCAAGTGTTAAGAGACATAAGCAAGGCTGCATGTAATGGAAATAAGGAAAGATTTCCTGATAAAGATAGTACAGCAGAAATTCCTTTCAGGTTTTTCTTTGTTCCTATAATTTTGGATATGACAGTTTCTGACAGATTAGGCAGGCATCCACTTTCCTTCCAGGAGAAGATGTGGTGAGCAGAAGCAAAGGCTGAATACACCACGCAGCATAGCAACCCCACTGTTTGAAGTAATAGCCTTAAGCAAGGAGACCTGCCAGATGGTATGAACAAGAGGTAGGCACACAGGCAGCACACTGCAAGACACACAATTGTATTTGAAATACATAGTTACCTGCAGTACCAAACAGGAGGCACATGGAAATTTCTCTTGTCCAAATGCTGAGCAAAGGACATTGAAGTACACCAGGCCCTGGGAGAGATAATTCAGTTGACAATACATTCCCTATTGGTACTATTGGTTCAGAAGCAGTAACCCCCCCCTGCAATCCACAGATGACCTCACTGGTGGTGCTTTACATCCAACCTGTACCAACCCGTAAAAAACCCCGTAGCCCTTTCGTAAGCCTGAACATAGACAAAATCCCAGTTTTGATAAATACACGTTGCCTACCAACTTCTTCCTCATTGTTATCCCCTGTAAAAACAGTACAGACCTCATCCTTTGGTGGTGGTTGCATTTGTGTGCAAACCAGGCATGAATCAATTACTGTTTATAAAATGCTTCTGGCTCCTAAAAGACTAGAAGTACCTCTATAAACATACCACACTATCATAAGCTTTCCGTTGGGCTCCGATGATTGATGAACTTTCAGGCCAGAAATGCCATTTTGATCAACTAAGTCAACCCTGGGCACAACAGAGGCCAGAGAATTTCCTGTAGCAGTTCTCATAATCAGATTAAAACATATGGTTTTAGCTTGTGGCAAAAGAGGTAGAAAACAAACAGGAATGTTTCTGTTTTTCCCAGAGAAAGAATAGTGAATCTGCAAAAAGTGTTTTAGCATCAGTGATTTTCATGCTGAAAAACATTTTAAGTGTTTCACATTAAGCTTTCATTTAGGGAACATCGGTTTGCACTGTACATTGTAACTTTTTCTACTTAGGGCAGACAGTTTTTATCTTTTTTCCCTTGCACAAGAACCACAAAATATCTTTTCCCAGAATGGTTTGATTGAGTATAACTATAAATTAAAGATGAACTATCTCTATACTGAAGCTCTGTTCAAGACTCACATCAAAATATGTCTATGTCCCATACTTTCCTCATGCTAAGAAAAACTGACACTTGGAGTGGCTGTGTGTTCTGTATTTCAATGCAAAGGCAGGCTTTAGCTGTGGTTTGTGAAAAGTGGGATTCACTAATCAGACAAAGGGAAGGATTGGTCTCATTAACATCCTGTTGAGGAGGAACTGCCCAGCTAGAAGGAATACATTGCAACTTATTTATCTAAAAAACAATGGAGAACACGGAGTACCCAAAATAATAAGACACGTCCTTCATGCATGAGTTTAACCTGGAAAACTGAAGCAGGGTAGGTAGGAAGAATGAAAAATAGAAGTGCTAGACAAAACTTTAGTCGTGTTTTCTGATAATGGCATCTGCTCACCTCTTGACACAATAGTAAGGGTGTCTCAATCATATCAATGTTTTTCACAAGTCCTCTATGTCTATATAGCAAAAGCAATAGGAAAAAGTGCAGAAAAAAAAAAAAAGTAATGTACATAGCATAACAGGGATAAAATTTAGCTCTCCTAAAATCAATTGCAATTTTGCTGCTGGTTTCAGCATAGATTTCTCATATACCTAACAGAGAAGATCACTGGTTTTTACATCAGAACAATTTCAGATTTCATACAAGAAGACTCTCTTTGCAAAAGCAGCTTTCACTTACTTTTCTAAATTCCTAATTCCTTAAAATCCTTGAGAGAAAGATTATTCATAACTTTACTTTAAGTAAGTGCTTATCTTGTCCAACTGCGGCACAAGATTACAGTCTTTTGGGAAAAGACACATGTGGAAAGGAAGGAATGTGTTCTCACCAGGAAGATGACAGGTCTGAGTTCTCCCTAACCCTTGCTCTTGAAAATACGCTTCTTTGAATGACTAAAGAAAACATTTTTAGTTTTCTCTCATTTCAGGGAAAAGTAGTGTTCGTGAATCCTAGATAATGGCAGGAAATGTCTCCATGTTCTCTGCTCAGTGTTACATTTTTATTAGCCATGACACCCACAAGTCTTGGCAGGAGTCCTCATGCTCTGCGATTCCCAAAGGCTTGGCAAATTCTTTGAAACCAGAGGCCAACTGGGTGTGACCAGATGCCACAGTAAGATGCAGAGTGGCCTTTTTCAGTCTTGCCAACCCCAATGATTCTGAAGGAGCTATCACTGGTGGATCAGTTGCTAAGGTCACCTCCCTTTCCATTGAGGCTTGAAAGACTTGAAACCTGTCTTTTCTCTGCTTATCTCCTTTCTTCAAAAGGAAAAAGAACAACCATCCACAAACACATTCTTCTTATTGAAAACACCTTGCTGCATAAGACAGCACATACTCTACCTTTCAAGCAAAGGTGATGTAGAAAAGGTCAGTCAACACCTGAAAGAACTGTTACGTTTTTTTTGGTATTTCCAGTTTTAGACAGCCTCAGCCAGTTCTCTGGACAAAGCACATTTTTAAGAAATTGGTCCAGACAGTCCTTTACAGATGAGTCACAGCAACCGAATATCAGAACGGAACAACGGAACTGCTGTCCTATCAGGGCCCAGTCAAAAAACAGTTGTTTTCATAAGTCTTTCTTTTACCTGATTCTTATCCTTACTGAGTCCAGTGGGGATGGGAGAACTAGTTTTATACCAGCTCTAAAACCTAAAGATCTAAAATCTAGATTTGTAGCAGATATATGTTACAGAAAAGTACATAGCAAATGGAATTGCTTGCAAATAACTAAAAACTTGTCAAAAGTGTCAAAAAAGCTGGTAAGCAGGACATGGCATAATTACAGGTTTCTTCCTATCCAATAAAATGCTTTTATGTGCATCAATCCTCTTTCAACATAAAATTCCATCACTTGTTTATTAGCATAAATGACAAGCGGGTCCATTCCAGGCACTGCTGCTGCCCCTAGCAGTCACCTCACTCCTGAAGTACACAGTCAAAATGAGGGCAGACTTGCCCTCAGCTGTCTTTACTTAAGGCTTACACAGGCCTTTCATAAAGAGCAAAAGCCACTGTCTTCGAGGAACACAGGAGACTCCTGTAACTATAGGACAAAACTTTCTTTCAGCCAAGATAGGTAACATCCCATCTTTTTATCACTCTCACCTCTACACTGATCTGTGCTGGGTTAGGTTATGTGTCCAACCAAGACAAATCTGTGTCATGCCATGGCAGGGGTGTTTGGCCTAATTTCTAAATGGGACATGTTTTTAAGTGCCTGATTTGAGATCTATTAAATTGAATAGATTTTCAGAAGTCTTAAACATCTGCCCATAGAGAAAGAAAAAAGAGGGCTGTAGGGAAAGAGGGAACACTTTTTTTTAGTTTGAATAACAAAAAAATCACTAATGTCTACTTTAAATTGTCGAGATAAGGAGTCCTTATGTAAGACACGCAACACTCAAGAGATATAAGAGAGACAGTACAGTATTACAGATCAACTATCTAGCACAGAGAAATCAAATGATTTTTTTAAAAACTTCTGTGGAGATGGGGGAAGAGACAGAAGTTAGATATTTCAAGTGGTGACCACACATCCTTTCCTGAAAGCTGACAGCTATCTCCCCATACATTTTTTAAAAACCATTATGGAAGTTGTCAAGTTCTATGACATGCTGATCAAGGTTTGCCATTCAAGCAAGGGGCTTTACTTAACCTCAGACCTGCTTTAGAGGTTGTGCACACATCCAAGCAAAAACACACATGCAAGTCAACAGATCCATACTGTCATGGAGACAAATGATATTCTTTCAGGGTTTCAGGCTGAGAGAAGGGGCCAAAAGCCTTTGGCAGTACTCAGACCTCCCAGACTGCGAAGACAGGCTTCCAGGCTGTTCTGTGGCTGCATGCTTTTCACTGATTTTCAGGCCACAGGAACATGACAAGAGGTTTATAACCTCCTCCATCTTTTCTACCTTTTTAGTGTGAGAGTCAAAAGACAAGATGTGGGAGGTGACAGGGCAAGGAGATGGGGAATTTTTCCCTCACCCCCATAGTTGATCCTTCTTGAATACTTCAGAGCTGCCAGTGTATTTCTCTGGATCTTCTTTCGGCTTAAATATGTTGCTAACCACTGGACAGATCCACTGGCTTGAGCGGTTCAGCTACATTTAGATGCCTGAGTCAAGTCTCATGTCCCCTCCTTCAGGACTATTTTTGTTAAAAAGCGTAAGATGCAAAAGACTAGATGGATATAAAACAATGTGGAGAACTTTCAGGACCAAACAGTACCTTAATCCCTCTGAGATACGAAATCTCTGCTGCCTTTAGACCTTGTCACATACTTACTCTTGACAATGTGACCTATGTATATCGGACCCCAAACAACAGGTCATACAGATGCACCAGCATATACAAAGAGGACTGAGGCCCACCATCTATTTTTCAAGTGAGACACATTTATAGTCTGACCAACCAGGGTACCTTCTATGGTGAGACAACTGTAAGTTAAAATAAGTAATTGCTCCCATTTGTCTGACACTTGTGAGATTGTGTTTGGAGCAGTGTGTCCAGTCTTGGCTTCCTCAATACAAGCAGTACATTGATGTACTAGACCAAAATGCATTTTATCTGTAATTCAGCTGTGCTGGCTTTCAAGACTAATGGTTTGTAAAGAATCTGGTTTGCAGTATTGATTAAGATCTCGATACAGTTTTTTTCCCCAGGAACATCAAGTGAGGCTACTTATTCAGTTGTATAAATTCCTTTTGGGATTTTAAGGGCAGAAAAATGAGTCATTTTTTCAACAGAAACTGCAGGTATGACCAATCTGAGAACAGCAGATGCATTTTACAATGAAATTATGAGTAATAAAATGTAGACACTATTTATCTGCATATGAAGCTTACACATAATTACATTGAGAGTAAACCTCTGTACATGGAATTGTATATCACTCCTTCGGATTATATCAATGCTTTTGAGCTGTCTTACCTCCTGTTTCTGCTTTACTCGCAAGAGAAGATACCAACTGCTTTTTAAATGTATCAGCACCAATCCATGAATCATCTTGGTTTCTCTGCTAACTGGAGAAAAACTTCTCACCAGACATTTCACATTATTTTATGTCTGCTATCTGAAAATGAGTGTTTCCTCCCTTCCTGTATTGCAGTATGGGAGTAATAGTAGATATACAACAAGTACAAGTTTTCAAGACTACATGAAAAGCAGTACATGAAAATCCAACAGAAATACAT